ATCACAATTAATGTAAAAGCCGAGATATCTCTAATAAGACTACAAATGAGTCGAAATCTAAGTAAAAAAGCCACGAACAAAAGTTATTGTCGTAGTTAAATGGCACAAGCACCGTATCCATTCGTCCACTAATACAATTCTTCTTTGTTTAATGCATTTTTCCTTCTTTTAATTCCGCAATAAATACATAAACTTTCGTGACTTTTTTGATATTTTAAATTGGTTTTCCTTCCTCAGACGTTAACATAACGATCCCATTAAACATTTTATAAAATAATTGAACGAATATAAACGCTCTCTTCCTCTTTTCACATCAGTTATATTTTTAAAGCTTGCCTTTATTTCATGATCGACTGACGATGTCGACTCGTTAATAAGCTTCGTTAACAAAGCGCAACAGCGAGAGCCTCCTTTGTTCGAGCTTACAAAGACAAACTGAGGCTTTTATTCATTCTAAAAGTCTCGAGAGATAGTATCGGTTCATAAGCAAGAATTATGAGGAACTCGTTTCTTTTTATACTTAAATGTATAAGAGCGTCCTTCATAGATCGCTCGCCCCGGCCAACGCAACGTAAGCCTGACCACGGCCTTTTCCTTTTTTTTATTGTTATTACACAGATAAACTTTAATTATAAAAATAAGCATACAATTAATTCTTAATCCAGAAAAATCAGTCAATTAAAATCATACAACTCCGCATGCATTATTTATGTAATTTTAAATCTGCCTGTTTTGTGATTCAAAGAATAGATTCTACTGTATAATGTGTTTCGAAATGCGTAATCTTAATTTAGGACATTCAACATGTAATACGTGTCATAAAAATCATGGCCATTACGCTAATTGTGTAAGTAGCAAAATTATACAGGCATTGCGGAAGTGGAAGTCACCTAATTATTTAGAGGTGCTGACTGACCCTCAAGTTAATTAAATTATCCATTGTTCAATCTAATTACGTTAAAGAAATAACTCGAACACATTGTAATAATTAAGATGGATCTCTACAGAAAAAAAAATTGAAAGGGTAGTACATACATTTTAGAAAGGACTTTCGGGTACGAAAATTTAAGCAATTTGATCGATTCTACAAATGGTTAGTTTACAATGAACGCTTCATTACTAACCCTAACTCATCCTACAAAAGTGAAACATTTAACTATATATATCGTTGTCCGGCTCGAAGGACCAATCCGTTAAAGGACTGATGTTAATAATTATGATGATTGTACATTAAACACAAGATAAACAAGAAATGGATGCAACTCATCGTGAATATATATATATATGAAACTTCAACAATTAATTGTACCTTATTTATTTACATTTGAAAGATGTTAACATAGCATAGCAATTTATTTGCTTTATTTATTTACTTCTTAATATTTGTAATATTATATTATCTATGGGACCCTGTGACCTCAGATTATTTAGGTCATAAAATTTAATTGGTGTCTGAATACTGTTCATTACGCCACTAGTTATTAATTAATTTACGGTTGGTTTTTATAATTTCACACTCGATAAGTGTTGCTGTTAAAGCAACGAAATTGGCTTTTGAAAAGATTAAACAAAAAGCTATTTTTATTAATATGTAGTTTAAATAGCGTAAGTACCATAATGGTTTATAAAACCGATCAAAGCATAAGGAAATTTCGTACATCGTGAAAATTTTTAATTTTCATTTTCTTGGCATCATTCATTTAAAAATTGCTCCCTAAGTTGCATCAGGTATAGGTACGGTGCCTTTTATATTTCTTGCCAAATTTTATTTGTATGCATTATACATTTATAAATTCCACATGTTTCTAATAAACCACTTATAGTTTAGCCAAATTTCAATAATATATCATCCAGTAGTACGTAATTCTTAAAAGTAAGTTTTAAATTTACGTAACTAAGCACGTTTTTTTATAGATAGATTCAATTTAATTTACGGACCAGAGGAAATTAATCTATCAACACTACCGTAGCAAATAAAATAGAAATTGTAAAGAACGACACTATTCCATCTATTAATACAGAAGAATGGTTTACATGAAGATTATTATAACTCCGACGTATTCTTGGCGCCTCTATATCACTCAATTTTGCTCAATTGAAATCAAAAAGAACCGGGCCAAGCAATAATAAAAAAGTTAATTGAGCAGAATCGCATTTACATCTACAAAATAAGATGGAAACCCTTCTGTTATAAAGAAGTACACTGAAATAGAAAAACTGAATCTTTTTCAAGAATCGTTTTCCAAAAAGCACAAACAAAACAAACATTTCTCTTGAAAACTATCTGACGTAAAAACATGAAATTTGGCAAAGCAATAAAAATTGTTAACTCGCACATTTGCACTTAAAAAAATATTTACATGGAAATTTTCAATAGATTATATTATTATTATTGTAATAATGCGATTGGTTTTTATTTATTTCTCTGAGCCATACAATCAGAGGATAATCTTTTTGTAAAAAAACAAGTTCCCCATGTTACTTCTGAACTAAGTACTAAATCTAAGATTACGAAACGGAAAATGTTTGCTTAAACTTTACATGAAAACAATAGCAAGTCAATAGGAGTTTCTTTCCGAAATCAAACATTTAAATTTTTATCAATTCGTAACTTTGTACATACGTGGTTTCTAGTGTCTACTTTCTACTGACAAAGCATTGTTTGTAGATATACTAGTTATTTAAAACCAGACTTCCGAATACCATTCCTGTAAAAACTTTACAATAATGTAATAAAAATTCCTATCATATTTCAATTTTTATTGAGTGCTACAACTCGCTTTAATTTTATATCGCTATCAAAATTATAAAACAATATTATCAAGACTTTCCTCATTTTTATTTAATTTTTGTTTACTATTAATTTTATATAACAGTAGTATAATTATATAACATTAAAGGCAATATTCGAGGAAAATACCATTGCAGCTTCTCCACATCTAATGAAATTGCAACTGAGCAGTTTTTCAATTCGATCAATATCCGGTAAGCAAACTAAGTTACGGTATTACAAGAGATTTCAAAACATTACGTTTTCTGTTAATAACAATACCGGTCATTTGATATAATACATTTTTAATTAGAAGATATTACGTAAAATATGGAATGAAAAATGAGCATTAAAATGCAATAAAAAGCACGATATACCTGGTAACGTTATTAATACAAATAGTAGATTAAAACATTTTTTGATCTATTATAGGAGTATTCATTTTTTTACTACCTACTATTAATATGCCGAAAAATTGAAGAAAATACTAAAATAGTTAAAGAGCAGTTACCGATATTTAAATTTTTAATATTTCGTTTTATTGCAATATTAGGCTAAATATAGAACACTTATTAGGGTAACCAATGTCCAGATAATGGTACTTAATAGGGCAATAACTATTTAATCATAATCATAAACCCAGACCTATTAGCAGTTCTATTCTGTACAATCAAAACAAATGCATACAGACTATGAACCGTAATACTTTGGTAATAATAACAAGGTAGGTAAGTTCAATATGGAATGTTATTATGATAGTGAAAGCAGGCCTACAATAGAAATAAGATAACACATTAGTACAATACGTTGTAAATAACGTGCTAATCAAGAATAACAAAACTAATCTACCTAAAATTCCTATACGAGAAGGAAAAAATATCAGAAATTGACCAGTTTGCAAATTTAATTTGTACTTTTATAAGCAAACCAAAGTTATGCTATCTTCCTCTTCGAATAAAATTAATGTCACTTAGCATACAATTACGTTGTTAACATAAAACCTAAATTTCAATTGCAAATATCCCTTCAAGAGAATTTTAATGTATTATAGTAGGAATCTTTTTCAAATCCTATTGCGTTTAAATGCGACAGACGCAGTAGAATAATATTTATAATTAACGATTTAAATGAGTTAAATAACACAACTTGTTCTGTTAATTGTCTTAATGATCCTGCATGCTGCAGAAAAATCATGACATTGTTTATGACCGATTACATAAAGTGGGCAACCACTCCATATATGTATACCACCAGTAAACACTTTTAATTGTAAAATATAAAACAATTAAATTGGTTCAACTTTCAATCCGAATTTAACAAACCTTTCATTATTTTAACCTTGCAGCAGCAGGTCGTGTTTATTAGACCGTGTTTGTAGGTATCTACATAATATTATACAAAAGTACAGTACACAAGGTAGATGGCTACTACATTTTTTCCTGCTTAATTAACTATAATGTTTATATTTTGAAAAGTAACAAACATTAAGTTAATGCATTTTTATATTACACCTCCAGCACTGAAATGATCATGACAAGGAAATTAATACTAATTACTGTTACTATGAAAAATGAGCTAGCAAGAAAACAGAAAAATTAGGAGGAAATTGTCACTCCAACAAAAAAGGATTAAATTATCATATGCTGACAGTCAATCAGGACACTTTTGACGATAATAAGGACAAAATTGTCAAGATTGGAAAATCCTATGTAGAAACTGTTACACTGTAAAAGTAACGTAGGTACTAACAAAAACAAATTAAACCATTATATGTTGAGGTATTAAAAGGGGATGCGATTGACTAAAATAAGGACAAAAATATTGTCAAGGATATGAGAATAATAGAGGATTTCTTATTTAACCTGCATCACTATAATTAAATAATAAAATATATTATATGGGCATGTATTTAACAAGTGTTTTAGCAAGTTTCACGGTCGCCAGGTAACGTAAGTGACATTTGAGACGTACTGTATTTGCATTCTTCAGTAAATAATTCTTGGTTTCATTAATAGACTGCAATAAACATTAAAACATATTGTATGTACATAAAACACTAAGGTGAATGATAGTAGAAAAAAATAGCATACAACTTATAGCAAAGGAAGAAAGAGCGCACACAAAAAAGCAAACTCAATCTTGTATCGATGCATAAAACTTTTTATAACTTTTCCTTTTTTTTTTTCTGGGCTACAAAATATGTTAGCATCAATGAAGAAAAATTACATACCTTGCCCACTTGCAGCACAACATAAAGGCAGACGAGTAATGAGAAAAACTGCAAACCTGTCGACATTGTAAATATTTGAACAAAATCAACAGGTGGTAAATATAAAAATCAGGTACAAAAACATAAAACGGTTTGGGTGAACGAACACAAACTACGTGAAAACATAATGCGGGATTAGCAACTTATTCGAAAACAGATGTGCTAACATAATTGACGATTATTTACAAACAGTAGCACAAATGTCACACACACAACTTCGACTGCGACATAACGTTCACGACTGCCTTGACTACACGACGCTTGGGCGACCGACACTGCCCGACGCCTGGGAAAACGCGAAAATCCGTTCTCTCGAACTCGGCCGAAGATTTCTTTACTCAACACAACTTAAGCCAGCTCAAGCTCAACAAAAGCCAACTAAACTGCTATAACAACTACCTGCTCTCACACTCGCTCAAGTTTCATTCGATTGCCTACAGATGGCAAAAGCTTTTGGTTAGCAGCAGGAAAACTCAACTTTATTATGCAGAATTTTCCCTTTTTCCACTAGATTTTATCATAACGTTTACATTTTCCTGAAATACCCTAATTAATAAGGTAATGAAAAGCTTCATTTCATCTTCAGTCGTTGAAAGCTTTTACGGACCCAACCAGAGATGTAGCCAACATCCACGCATCGAAAGCTCTGACCAATATGTCCGGCGCACTCTAAACATTAATTTAAAATCTCAACTGGCGAACTTCACATAATTCAAAAAGCTTTGATTATGCAAAATTACGCAACGGTTTTATTTAGCGATGCAAAAGTATCTATTACCTTCTCCAAATCGAGAGCTTTTGAGCTTTTTTCTCGGTGAATGTAATTGCTAAATTATTTAACCAAGAAAATCTTACTACTTGAATTGTGAAAAATAACATGCACACAAGGGGAGGAAATTAATGAACGATCTAAGCTCATTCCTAACGTTTCCTACATGTCGATACGTAAGGTAATAATCAGAGATGTGATTTATTTGAAATACTTGCATTTAAAATGCAAATATAAAACAAAAAATACCTATTTTTACCTTGCATTTAAATACTTTTTGTTAAAAGTTAAAAGTTTTGCTAGTATCACCGATCAAACTATATAAAATGATGAATGAAAGTTGTTCACATTGGTCATTGAAGGCATTAGCAGCTTAAAAAGAGAACAAAGAGACATTCCATGAATGTCTTCTAATTCTTTAACTGCAGAGAGCCCAAAAAATTCTAAACTCCTTGGAAATTGATAATCTAAAATATTGGATCGATATTGTTTTCCGAGTTCAATATCATGGTCCATGGAATTTTGAAGTTCCAAATTGATATCAGCATCTGCCAAATCACCACTTATCGTACCTTTAGCAAGGAACTACGAAATTTTATGAATTAGGACAAAACAGTCAGCAAAACAATATCTAATTGATATACACCAGCTGTGTAAAACTGAAAACTACACTTAAAATATTGTACTGTGGTAATAAATACGTATAATCCAAAATTCTTAGAAAAATTAGAAACCACGCATTTCACTTCTTTCTCTTATTATAATGTGCAAACACCACTATTGGTCTAGAAAAACTCCAATATTTAAAAAATGAACAGATGCCTACAAGGCTTTCATAAAAAATATTTTATACTTAAGTAAATGTAGAAAATTAAATAGGTACTACAAAAAAGTATTTTGAATGTACGTATTTTGCATTTAGCATTAGACGACCGACTAAAAATGCAAATCAAAAAAAATATGAAGGAAGCAATTTATCGTTTTAAAGTATTGCATAGCCACAAAAATTATTCAACACTACTTAGGACGTAAATTAAAACACCCTGTAGAGTTTTAATCTCATTGACAATTATACCATTTCATTCATCTTCGTTTTCTCAGGGATATTAAATTTATTTTCTCTTGCAGCCTTATCATATTAAAAAAATGAAAATAAACTTAAGAACCTCAAGAAAGCTCGTGTGATGACGTGAAATTAATCTTTATGACCAACATGTGCGAACGTAATCAAAAATGAAAGCTACTTTTTACATTTATTTACGGAGTTTGACGTCAAAAGAAGCAATGATGGAAGTTCATAAATGTACCAGCCTGTTATACGTTAAAAAAAGGATTATTATTTAATTTTATTTTATGCTTAGATTCTCAGTATTGTAATAGGAGGAATATACATTATCAACTCACTCTTTACCATGAGATGAGACTAAAGCCAGTCGTGACGTCAATCGTTAATAGTTTGGTCCTGACTCGAATTTCTGCTACTTTTTTCAGAATGGTTTAATCCATGTTGCAATTAGATACATCATTGTTTTTTGAAATGACGACACAAAATTATTTTTGCAGAAAAACAATGTTAATAAGTAACTTAAAACCAGCCAGAGTTGATATTCTATTATATAACAAGAAAAATCGTATTGAACAAACTGCTTTCTTATACGTATTATGCTTTTCAATGCTTGTGAGATACAAAAATATGGTTCTCCAGGCATGGAAATTGAAAATCCATTTTCTATCGAATTCATACAGTTAGTGACCTTTAAACACCCACGATAACCGTAATTGATTATAGCAGGTATTATAGACGAAATTCATCCACCAACCGGAAACCGATATATGTATTTACTTTAAGATAATCAACCAGTAATTACAAAACAAAATTGAAGAAACATTTCTAAACGCAGAAAGTGCATTGATAACTTTTTTAGGCATGATAGTAGCTAATTTCAGTGGGAATCCTTCTACAAATTGAGAAGAATAAATAATGTTTTAAGAAGTACAATGCTTGAACAAAAATTGACCAGTTTGTCGCTAATGTCCATCCTAACGTGATGTGCTCAAAGAAAATTTTCATTAGACGCATAAATCAAAATGCTACGCCTTATTGTTACCGTGACAATTATTTTATTAAACTTCGACTGTATCCTAAGATACTGGCGGCTTAAGTTTCTGTAATTTTGTAAATATTAGTTAGAATTTCCTAATTATTTTTCAGCCTCTAATTAGCTTCGACAAAGGGGGCATAGGTGTCAACTTTTTGGGATATCATGCTAGTGCAGGCCTAAATTTTGAACATATTATTGACGATTTGCTTAGGATAGAATCGAATTTTAAGACTCACCTATGAATGCTATAAGAGTTAGTTTTCAAAATCATATTACAGCTATCTATTCTTTATTACGATTGTAAAGAAATAAAAAGAATTGTTGAATAAATTTAGAATTTTGCTTATCTACTTTTTTTAGCTCATAGGGGATAGCGGCCCAATTATACTCATGTGCCCAGGACATTCAATAGATTAAAATCTGTCCTCATTTCTAGCCTTTTCTGCCTTTTTCCGTAGCGCTTACACTCACATTTCGCACCCGTACAAAGTTGGACTTCAAATAAAACTTTTAATAATCTTTTTCGAATTTCCTCATAACCAATTGCGAGCACTAAAGTGATTTATTTTTTTAAAAGCTCTTTTTCCGTCCTGAGTTATATTGCTCCCTGAGAATCTAAAATGAGGAAACAAAAATTATTTCTTCATGCTACAAGTAATGATATTCCTGTTTCAAGAATATTATTTGAGAATATCTTACCGTGTAATATAAGGTCGTTTGGTACGCCTTGGGTAGTATTTCATTAAATAAATTGGAACGCATCTGAATAATCTGGTATTCCAGTAACGTTAAGTTGCCTCAATGACAAAAAAAAATCAGTTTCGCCAGCGGTAGCGTTCGATCATTCAAAGTTAATAACCGAGATTATTTCCGCTCGTGCCACGAAGAATAAATTGAACTGTTCCAGATTTATTTACGTATAGTTATGCGCAAGTTCCCGATAATTATTGAATTTTGTAATATCCTCAATTAAGTACCGTAAGTTATAACCAATGACATATTTATAAGCATACCATAACATAATATGATAACGTTTATTATTAAGTAGTTCAACTGTTCACAAAATTATTATATTACTTCATTTCTTCCCTTCTCATTTGTTATCTAAGAAATCAAAATTACTTTCAAGGTGAATAAAATTTTATTGTCGCCGTAAACAATACTGGTTGCGATAATTTACAATCGACCCTGAAGAAAACCTATACCATAGGCGAAACGTCAGCGTTGTTTGCGATAATAAAATTTTTAGCTAACTAACTTTTATAGATGTTATTTCTTAACTATGTAAGAGAGTGAATATGTACCTATACTTAACTGTTTTATTTGTTTCAAAAATGTGGATTTTGTATTTGTGCTTATTTGACGAACAAACTGTAAATATAAAATTATTTAAAGCTGTTTCGTAGTATTTATTTAATTATTAATTTTGTATACCTAAAAATATAGATATACAAAACTAATCATAAAAATAACGGCAGGTATTACCCAAAAGTCACTTTTGGTGAAGGCGCCGGACATTTCATTTTTACCTTACAATTTATAGGTATCACAAATCTGAACTTTCAACTAAATTTCATAAACTTACCTACTAATTCAATAGTAATAAGAACACACAAGAAACAATATGTTCTACTTTTTTGAAAATGATCCTTTGATTTTAGACCGCACTGAAATAATTTTACTGTTTGCTAATCATAAGGCAAGAAAAGTGGATTCTTTCAGCCACTAGAAATGTGAATATTGCTATTTTATTCTGTTATTTAATAACATTTGTAATCTTTATTGCCTGCTACACATAAGTTAAGCAAATTAAAATTATACTTTTCGGATCATAGAAGTACTTAGTAGCTCCTATCTGTTTTTGCTAAAGGATAAAGGGGACTTCAATATAAGACGTCCATGCAACACGATAAAATCACAAGTATTAGTAATGGTGGTGTTAGTTTGTAAAAATCCTTATAAGTAGATAGTAGTATTATTATATATGTAAATATGTAGCTAATAGAAGTAAAACAAATTGGAAAAATAATTTCGTTTCTAGCTTCTTAGTATCTCGCTCGTGCTCAAAAGATTGAAGTTCAATGTAATAGCTGTTAATGTTACTTAAAAAGATCTGGAAAACAACATATTCACGAAGGTAATAATTATTTAATCATATACATGGTCACCTAAAATCCGCACTACTGTTGTCTCATGTTTAACTTACGTTAGATTTATGTAAATGAAGACTTGTTACTGATTTACACTTGCACAGCTATTTTGTATTTATAAAAGTGTTAAAACGTTTAACCGACAATGTATGTTTACGGTTTCGCTCTAGTTACCGGTCGATTGGTAGGTAAACATGTTTCTTTTTTAAGGAAAAAGGATAAGGTAGTATCAAAAATAATCATTTATGCAGCCTCAATGGAT